AGGGGAGGGGAGGGGTGTGAGGGGCGGGTAGAAGAGGGGAGTGAGGGGCAGGTAGAGGAGGAGTGAGGAGCAGGTGGACAGGTGGAGGAGGGGAGTGAGGAGCAGGTGGACAGGTGGAGGAGGGGAGTGAGGGGCAGGTAGAGGGGGAGAGTGAGTTGAGGGGCAGGTAGAGGAGGGGAGTGAGGTGAGGGACGGGCATAGGAGGGGAGTGAGGGGTAAGTGAAGAGGTGGGCAGAGGGGGAGTGAGAGGTTAATAAGGGGCAGGCAGAGGGGCAATATTAACTAGGGGACAATGAGAGGACGGTGCCACTGTCGACTATAAGTGCCGGCCTACGAAGTCATTACTTAGCTTCCACTCAACTATCAACACAGTGCATCACTCCTGCTATGATGCAAGTCTTCGCTCCAATATAACTTTCGAGAACAATAATGACATTTGCCTTGTGTTGACTAAAATTACTTTGGCGAACCTAATTTTATTTACGAGTAATAATGTTCATGCAGAAGCTTCTTATTTCTCTTCCGTATAATATAATTGGCTAATTTTTGTTTTGTCAGTAATCCTTGTATCAATCATGAATTTTCGTGATGTTAAATTTGATTAATGGGTAATTACTTTTTACAGAGAATACTTGTCCTTACACCGGATTTTCGGTACCTATAATTACATTATTTTTATTAGAGCTAACTATAGTCTTATTTACACTTATCTACAAGCCTATATTACATGTAATCACACTCACTATTAGATCTAATTATACTCTTTTTTAGAGGTAACCCATTGCTAGTGACTGTAGCCTAAATTAAAGGTAATAAAATTCAAAATTAAAGGAAATTGTAAGTTTCACATGACTATATATCTATAGGTTGGCCTCACCCTGGCCCTGCCGTCCCGCGGCTGATGCTCGAGCTGTAGGACTTCAGCCTGCGTCTGGGACGCGCCGAGGTCCTGGTTGTGGGACACCTCGTCCCGCAGCGTTCTTAGGGACACCACCGTCTGCGTCAGGTCCTGGGCAGGGGACGAACAGGGACGCGTTACTGGGGACATGTTACTGGGGGCATGTTACTAGGGACATGTTACTGGGGACACGTTACTGGGGACATATTACTGGAGACACGTTACTGGGGACACGTTACTGGGGACACGTTACTGGGGACACGTTACTGGAGATACGATACTGGGGACACGTTACTGGAGATACGATACTGGGGATGTTAGCGGGGACACGTTACTGGGGACATGTTACTGGGGACACGTTACTGGGGACATGTTACTGGGGACATGTTACTGGGGATCTGTTAGTGGGGACATGTTACTGGGGACATGTTACTGGGGACATGTTACTGGGGACACGTTACTGGGGACACGTTACTGGAGATACGATACTGGGGACACGTTACTGGGGACACGTTACTGGAGATACGATACTGGGGACACGTTACTGGAGACACGTTACTGTGGACACGTTACTGGGGATTCTATACTGGGGACATTTTAGTGGCAGGGCTTCACTTGATTAGGAATAAGAATATAAATTATACATAAAGCATAGGAAATTCGAACTCTGTTCTAGGTCACCTTGTGTAGAGATGTAGAAGAAATAAATATAACAGATAGAGAGCGACGTGGTCATTACTTTCGAGAGTGATTATTAGGAGGTGAGGTTTATAGGATGTGATAGGATGTACGAAGAGTAAGAAATAGGTGAAGAACTAGGGCCGTCTAGGGTAAAAGTCGAGCGACGCGGGTTGCGGCCGGCGGGACTATTTAAGCCGAAAGGTCGCATCGCGGAGTCACTCTAGTGCAGGAGTGCGAGGTATCCGGCCGCGGATCTCTGCAGTGTGGAAACGAGTTGAGACGGAGAACAGCCCATCAAAATCTTTACCGAGGGAACCACCGACTTTCTGCGAGTTAGAGTGTGGAATACCTTACCTACGAAGAAATAGTGGGACTGATCTACGAGATTCCCCGATTAGTTATCACCGAGCAAAGAAGCTGCTACTAAGTTGCCGCCGAGATAGAGTTTTGTTCTTTTAGCCAGCGACTACGGAGAAGAATTACCTTACCTACAAAGAGATCGCGAGCTTTGCCTGCAAAATTTCCTGAACCCATGCAGTAAATATAACTACCACGAAGAGTCTGCGATCGGATCGCCGCTGAGCGAGCTACAACCATACGACAACCGCCAGGTCGCCACCGAGGAACACCGATGGAGCAATTTTCCAGGGTTCATACCGAAGCTTCGCCGTCAGATTCGCCGTCCACGAACGAGTTGATGTACAAATGTGGAAATTGAGATACTAGTATTTCCGTGTATCAATTGTGTCTAATTTTCGCTGCGTTAGAGTCTGAATAAACAAATCCGTGCTTGTTAGTAATTGTGTCTAGTTTCTCTTATCTCATTTGCAAGAACGCAGGTCTACGCGAGATTTTCTGTAGGCAGTTCTGTGTCCAAGTCTTAGCCACCGTGTCCCAGCTCTGTAACTAGGTGTAGTATATCTTTCTTCTTAGTATATGAAGTTTAAGACAATTATGTGTGCCATTCTCTTTTGTCAAGTCGTAGCTGTCTAGTAGAGAACCACTGACGTGCCGTAAATTAGGCCACTCGGAAATTCGGGGATTTAATAACCAACCTGACATTAGACAAGTTTTAATAACAACTCAACCGAGAGGAATTACGTTCTCGGATTGATCCTGAGAAGTACATTGTCGAAGATAAAATAGAGATCGAGGAAAAGTTCATACAGTTAAAAAAAAATCCCGATAGGCTTTGAAACTTAAAGATTGACTTCAAAAAGATATATATTTTTCGCAACTTTCTATCATCCCATCTTCAAAAACTAATCACACTACCCACCTGGTAGAGCAGGGCGAGGGCAAGGCTCTGGTCGAGGTGCAGGCGGCGCGCCGCGAAGAGGCCGTCGAGGAAGCGGCGGCGGTCGTGCAGCGCCTCGAGCTGGTGCTCTACCTGGCTGCAGGCTGGGGGGAGGCAATGGAGTATTATATAGGCTAGGAGAGTAGGGAATATGAGAGTAGAGGAAATGAGGGTAGAGGCTAGGAGGACAGAGGATAGGAGGGTAGAGGTTAGGAGGACAGAGGATAGGAAAGCAGAGGCTAGGAGGGTAGTGGCTAGGCGGGTAGCGGCTAGGAGGGCAGAAGATAGAAGGGCAGAGGATTGGAGGGCAGAGGCGAGGATGGCAGGGGCTATGTGGGCAGAGGCTAGAAGGGCAGAGACTAGGAGGGCAGAGGCTAGGAAGGCAGAGATAACGAGGGTAGATGCAAGCAGGGAATAGGTTACGAGGGTAGGGGATAGGCGGGCAGAGGGTAGGAGGGTAGAGGCTATGAGGGCTGAGTATAGGTGGGTAGAGGCTAGAAGGGTAGAGGTAACAAGGGCATAATAGACTAGGAGGCTGCCAGTTCAGGTGCGTACCGAAGTCAATGCTGATCCTGATGTGCTGCGGTCTGGAGTCCATCGTGGCGCCCTCGTGCAGGAGCCCCCTGAGCCTGGCGAGGAGGACCTGCCCCTCCTGCAGCGTGTGCATGGAGGCCTCCAGCACGGCGCGCTTGTGGTCGTGCAGGGCGCTGATCAGCTCCCGGCAGGTCTCCACCTCCGTCGGTAGGAGGTTGTCCGTGTAGGTCTTCTCGGCCGCGTCCAGCGCGCTGCTGTAGCGACTGGCGCGCCTGCGGAGAAAGCGGCGCGTCAAGTGAGATATATCACGTGTAGTGCAAAGATATGTGGCATACGGTGCTGTGGTGCAAAGAACCATCTTTTCAAATGTGATATCGTAACGCGTAGCCACATAACAGCCCGCGACATGAATTAAATCACAATCTTTGTGAGTAATCCAACACCACCGCAAATCCTCAGTGCCATCGCATCAAGAAGTCACTCACGTCTGGAAGATGACCGCCAGATCCAGCAGGTTCTTGCGTGTTTCCAGCTGCTGGTTGAGTTCTTTCCAGGCAAGACCCAGCGACTCGGCCATGGCTGCGTACACTTCAGCTCGCGGCCGCTGAGTCGAGATGAGCTGGTCTGCTTGGTTCAGCAGGTCCTCCACGGGACTCTGCTTGCTCTGTAATGCGGTATGAAAATTACCTTCATAACCTTACGGGAATATACACAGATTAATACAAATACACACACACACACATGCATACTTCTTAACCCTACAGTGGTCGCGTTTAATACACATGTATACTTCTTAACTATAAAGTGATCGCGTGTAATACACATGTATACAGTGTACTTCTTAACCCTACAGTGGTCGCGTTTAGTACACACGTATACTTCTTAACTCTACAGTGGTGGCGTGTAATACACATGTATACAGTATACTTCTTAACCCTACAGTGGTCACGTGGAATACACACGTATACTTCTTAACCCTACAGTAGTCATGCGTAATACACACGTATACTTCTTAACCCTACAGTGTCGCGTGCAATACACATGTAATCCACGCCTAAGAAAATCGACCTAAACGAAACCGAACGAAAAGGAGCCAAATTTGATCAGTTGTTGCACGCGACGACAGCAGTGACGAATAACACTTCGTTTTTGTTTACGTTATACGTCACTTGGATACGAGGAGGCACGTTTGTTGCCAGTGATTATGCAGTTGATTTTACGCGAGATAAGCTTGGGTATTCGTGCTATACGACATCATTGATCAATCGAAAAAACTATTCTGACTCCACTAACTACATACTCGTGCTTCACATCAAATATTCAATGATTACAGACTTATAATTATATTCGAGAATAATTAACGGTTAAACTTCCACAAAGTGAGCTTTTAAACTATAGGGAAAGCTATCGTACTATCATTATATAGTATCGCTCGTGATCAAGTTGATGCACTAGAAAAATATTCAAAGACCACATGCGGCGGAACTTAATAACTGAAATAGAACAAATAGGATGCCTAGCAGAACCCTTCCCAACCACTGCATTCAATAGTATTAAGTGTAGTAGTATTACATTCAGTAGTATTTCGGCGGCAGCGTCTGGCAGGGTAGTAACGTGGCCAAGGGTGCACGAGAATAGTGAGGTACGAACCGCACTAATAATTGTGCATGGATTTTATCAGTTTCGTGTAGGCATACATCATCATTAATATTTAAAATCTCTCGATTTCCCAAAGCTACCGCACAAATTTCTCATCTTCAATGCAGACAGCGGCAACTTCCTGAGGCTGGGATTGCACAGAAGTGAATATTGGATGCGGAAACATTTAATATACACATACAATATTCATCATCGTTGCGTACCTGCTATTTGGTGAGGACCTCGAGGTGCGTATTCACATGCAATATCCATCATCATTGCGTACCTGCAGTTTGGTGAGGACCTCGAGGTGCGCGCGTTGCATGGCCTGAGCCTCCTGCAGGTTGGAGCCGAGGTGCACGAGGCCGGGCGCCAGCTCCACGATGCGCAACTCCAGCCATTCCGAGCTCTGCGCACCGTCAACAAGCAAATTAATTCATATCAATTTAATAATACATTTTCAAATTAATTCATATCAATTTGAAAATACATGTTAATGATATGCACGTTTCTAGAAAATTGGTCTCGAAGCTATGAGCTTAGCAAAAAAATGGCGGTCAAATTTAATTGAAACATGAATCCGAACAGTCAAAGAAACGGGTTATATATAACACTTATTCTGAACACTTGTAGTGTGGAAGTAAAACTAGAAATGAACTTTTGATACAGACACAGTATTACTGAATTATTTTTTATCCAAATAGGGAGCTATAAGGAAAATTGATTTCTATAAATGAATAATTAGTCGAAACAAAAATTGATGTCTGATTGGAGATAATGATTGTAAAATTAAAGAAAGGTTGAAAATAATCAATTCGTGGAGAAAAGTAGAATCGACGGACACAGTATGAATAAATTGACTGTCTATATATAATCCGTTGAGAAACGAAGAAACTTATTCATTCATACGAAAATGTACAAAGAAACCCGTCAAGAAATAAATTTTCTTTCTAGTAACAAAAACTGCGGACAAATTCGACAGCGGATAACGCAAGCAGCGACCAGGGACACTCGTCCTCCACAGCGGACTGTTGCAGAACGCCGTTGTGGTGCACAGCACAGGAGGGTAAACCGGTAAAACACCGGGGGCACAGCACAGGAGGGCATTACACAGTGGGTACTATAGCACAGGAGGGTAAAGCACAGGAGGGCATTACACAGTGGGTACAGCACAGGAGGGTAATGCACAGGAGGGCATTACACAGTGGGTACAGCACAGGAGGGCATTACACAGTGGGTCTACAGCACAGGAGGGTAATGCACAGGAGGGCATTACACAGTGGGTACTACAGCACAGGAGGGTAATGCACAGGAGGGCATTACACAGTGGGTACAGCACAGGAGGGCACAGCAGGGCAAATTTCTAGACGCTATTAAGGAAAACGTTTTCGAATGAATTTCTGTCGTCTTAAAAAAATTTGCGAAGTCTAATGTAAATCGCCTTTCTTAGTAACACACGCAAGTAAATTAGATTTTAATAATAATCGTCGAAGTTCAAAAGTTACTCCTTTAGTCACAAAAATGTTTTTCGTAAAAGTATCGTATGATTGAATACTCTATAAGTAATTAAATTTCAGTTTAATAGCGCCGATAAACAAGGAGTCGCGGTAAAAGACATGCAAAGCAAGCCTAGACGCTGTGCGCGTCCCAATGAAGAGGAAAATTTTCAAAGCATTCCTTTCAATAATCATACAATTGTATAAGCAACTAATAAAAGCGACGGAAGCGTCGAAAGGTCATATTAAATTAGTGCACCAACGTTAAATGCTTTTAAAACGAAGCCAGCATATCCACTCATGCCCGATGTACGACTGGTCAGGACTGCTGCATGCCAGATAAGGCCCACATCGAGCTCTTCTGATGCTCGTTTGCCCAGCGCGGCTCTGGTTCATATGATCATTTGGGCTCTTCGAAAGAAGTGCTATCGGTAAAATTTCTCGACACGTGAGAATGAATCTGTTGTTTGCATCCGTAACAGATTTTTATCCACCAAACAAGATAACAACCTCATATAGAAAGACTTAAAAACTATACCAACGAAACGAAACGCTTGCGCTGCACAACATGACGACACAATGAATGATATGTTTGATACACGCTAAGCAAAATAACGTCCGCAAAAAATAGCAATCGCATTTAGGGATGACGTAATGTTTGAAGTGGCGCACCGTGTGGCAGGATGTCGGCGGAGGGAGGTTCGGTGAGGTATTTAAGCCAAATTAGGGCGAGGCATGCAGCTTATCGGAGCTGTGGCGCGATTAGATGTGGCCGCTCCGACTACAAGCCATCTCGAAACGTGGATAATTGCCGCAACGTAATCGGTATAATAAAGATGGATTCGAGCTGAAAATCCTTACTTGCGTGAGGATCTTTCTTCATGACGACGCTTTAGCATTGATTGTGAGTTAAATGGCAGTCGTAAGTTGCTTGTTGACCAAACATTGTTTGATGGCCGCAACTGCTTAGATGGCCGTAACTGCTTTGATGGCCGCAAGTTTCTTAGATGGCCAAATATTTCTTGATGGTCGTATATCGTTTGATGGCCTCACGCTGCTTGTGCTTGATGGTCGGAAGCGCTATGTAGTGACTAACTATTTGATGTCGCAAATTGTTTGATGGCCAAGAGTTGCTTCATGGACGCCAGCTGTTTGACAACTGCAAGTTGCGTGGTGGCCGCTGGCTGTTCGATGGCCACAAGTTGTATGATGGCCGATGGATGTTTGATGGCCACAAGTTGCGTGGTGGCCGCTGGCTGTACGATGGCCACAAGTTGTATGATGGCTGCTGGCTGTTCGATGGCCACAAGTTATATGATGGCCGCTGGATGTTTGATGGCCACGAGTTGCGTGGTGGCCGCTGGCTGTTTGATGGCCAGAAGTTGTATGATGGCCGCTGGATGTTTGATGGCCATAAGTTGCTTGGTGGTCACTAGTATTTTGATGGTCGCCGCCTGCCGCATGACGTCACGTTGTTCACTCCACACGACCAGCAGACCTGTAACCTGAGCGCTCTATTTCTGGCATGTACCGCAGCACTGCCACTGCTCTGCCACATACTGAGATGCTGCACTGCCACTACACTGCCTCATGCTGAGATGCCGCACTGCCACTGCACTGCCACAGGCTGAGATGCCGCACTGCCACTGCACTGGCACAGGCTGAGATGCCGCACTGCCACTGCACTGCCACATGCTAAGATGCCGCACTGCCACATGCTGAGATGCCACAATGTCACTGCACTGCCACACGCGGTGAGATGCCGCATTGCCACTGCACTGCCACATGTTTTGAAAAGTACAGCACTGCCACTGCACTGCCACATGCTGAGATACAGCACTGCCACTGCACTGCCACACGCGGTGAGATGCCGCACTGCCACTGCACGGCCACATGTTTTGAAAATTACAGCACTGCCACTGTACTGCCACACGCTATGAGATGCAGCACTGCCACTGTATTGCTGCATGCTGTGAGCACATGTTGATCTGTAAAATATTTGTGCAATGCAATATCTGTGCACTGCAATATCTGTGCAGTGCACATTAGAGAAAGCAGCGCTGGTGCAGAGCAGTGCATCTTTGCACAGCGCAGCAGGGCACGCAGCGTTTGTTGGTTCTGCAGGGACGGCAACAAACAAACACGTCAAACCCATGCGATCACCCACCGCCAGCCATGCGATCACCCACCGCCAGCCATGCGATCACCCACCGCCAGCCATGCGATCACCCACCGCCAGCCATGCGATCACCCACCGCCTGCACCAGTCGTAGGCGTGAACTTCATTTCCGATCCAAGAAATCAATGTTTGTGCCAACATTGACACCTACGTCAGCATATCGTAATTGATTTCCATGCCTTGTTTAACGATAAATTATTCATTTATTGTCCACAGGAAATTACTGTCGAATATTAATAACGATGTTCCAATCATGGGTGCTAAATAATCTCAGTTAGGCCACAATATGGTAGGGTCGTGGGAAATATACAGAGAAAACGAAAAAAATATACATATGAAATATAAATACTTTTTGTTTGCTTGATATCGGTTATGCATTAATTGACCAAAATAATTGAAAAGCATGCACATAATTCAATTTAACATACCGTAGTTCACATATTTCGAAAGGTCGTTAATAAACTAAAACTACTTCCTGAAATATGCCTTTCGATCTACCAACGTCATCTGAAGAATTGTCCGACTCTTTGATAATTTAAAATTTTAAATCAACGAATTCTCCGGTCATTAATCGCACGTGTATAAATCAACAAATTCTGCCATCTAAAACTAATAATTCAATGGATGTAGGGATATATCACGGTTAATTCGAGAAAATACCTCCGGCAGATGATGAGCTTTACAAGTAGAGTGAAGCCTCGATCATACATTTCGCACGCGTATAAATCAACAAATTCTGCCATCTAAAACTAATAATTCAACGGATGTAGGGATATTTCGCGGTTAATATGAGAAAATACCTCCGGCAGATGATGAGCCTTACAAGTAGAGTGAAGCCTCGATCATACATTTCGCACGCGTATAAATCAACAAATTCTGCCATCTAAAACTAATAATTCAACGGATGTAGGGATATTTCGCGGTTAATATGAGAAAATACCTCCGGCAGATGATGAGCCTTACAAGTAGAGTGAAGCCTCGATCATACATTTAAGGCGATTAATTAAGCGAAGTCGAGCAATGTTCGCACAGACATCGAAGTCTCGTCTCAACCTCACAAAACCTGAGATCGACAAGACCGATTCATTAAATCGGTCAGCCAAGCTTACTTTTTTCCTTTCACTTTCTCTCTGTTAGGAGATTACCTTATGGGTTATTTCAGAGGGCACATCAACAGCTGTGTTATGATTTCGTTCATTTTAATAAATGACATAGTATTTTTTTACCTAAAATTGAATTTCAGATTATTAAAAAAATCAAGTAAACAGTACAAAGGAACATTGGATTAATTCTTCTCATGCTTTTTCAGCAGCAATCAGGTACTCGAACACAATATTCGTGTTACCTTCTCATCCCTTTTAAGCCTGAAGAAAAACCCATTTGAAAGCGAAACTGCTCCATTCTGTGACGACATCAATTCAGAAATATTCTTTCCAGGAGATATATATATAGCGCGCTATAAAAAATTCATATTCAACAAACGTTGTTATTTTCAGTAATTAGCCATGCTTTTTTATTAAGCTCGATTTGTTATTTTTATTTTTTATCGCTTTACTTCGCCATTTCAAAGAACAACAAAAGTTTGTAGCCCCCAATAGTTGCGACTATACACAATCATTATATTGAAATCACCAGAAAAATGATGTCTAGAAAATGAACATCAGGTGATCGTAAATTAATTGCAGTTCTAATGCTGTTCAGCTGATATTTCTACGTTCACATAGAAATTCTTAC